GCAGTTCTTTTTTCCTTGTCTATAAAGCATTTATTCTCCCTGAACACAACTCGCTACTTTTAAAGAAAAAAAAAACAATTGGCATGTAAGATTTGTTTTTAAACTGTACAGTCTCTCTCGCTCTCTCTTTTTGGTATGGTTAACACATTACTATGTGTGTGAAAATACCTGGAGGTATTTTCAATAACCACTAACCTTGCCTAGTGCAGTATGTGGGTTGTAAATTGGCATGGAAATTTAAAGCAGATTCCTGTTGGTGTACAGCACAAATTAGTTATATATGAGGATTGTAGCGTGGGTTTGAGCTTTTTTTCCATTTTCAGTTGTCTGATGCACCTTATATGAAGTAATTCTTCTGCTAACTGAAACTCTATGAACTTTGATAAACATCAATAGTTGTAGAGGGGCTTAAGGCCTCTTGTTCATAGGCTTGCTATGAGTCGTGTTCAACTTGAATGCAATCAACAACAACAACCAAATTCCACTCTGTAATTGTATAAAAACAAAAAAAAGTTGCAGCTGTTTCATTGATATTCTGAATGCTTCTAATTTTATTATATAATCTATATTTATATAATTTTATTAATAAAAAAAGAAAAATGATGGCACATTCGCACAATAGAATATTATGCAGCACTGAACAACAATAAACTCATAAAGCATTACACAACATGAGGGAGGGAGTCTGAAGGACATTATGCTGAAAGAAATATCTGTCACAAAAAGGACAAATATAATACTGCTGTTAGAAAATAGGACAGATGGGGTGAGGTGGGCAAAGAATGGGAAAGGAGTGCATATGTTTTTAAAGTTTATATACAAAAGCTGTGGAGGGTGATGAATCCCAGAGACTATTGTCCTAGGAGTCTCTTTCCAAGCTAAACCCAAACAATCCCCAAAGTTTTCTTAAAATCAAGCCATCTTATTGTTGTTGTCACTGAGTCAGTTTCAAATACTATTGGTCCTTTGCACAAAAGAATTAAATACTGCAAAATTCAGCAAACAGATGAGCCCTAGATGTGCTCACCAGGTTGTGCCAAGAAATGTGGAGAACAGCTACCTGGCCAACTGACTAGAAGAGATCCATATTTATTCTTATTCCCAAAAAAGGTGATTGAACATTATCCAACACTATCACTAATATCCCATGCAAGCAAAATCTTGCTGAAGATTATCCAAAAGTTAATGGAGTAGTACATTGACAGAGAACTACCAGAAATACAAGCTGCGTTTGGAAGAGGTCATGGCACTAGGGATATCATTGCTGATGTTAGATGGATCTTGGCTGAAGGCAGAAAGTATCAGAAAGATCTTTGTGTTTTTTACTGTGGCATTTGACTGTGAGAAGAATAGGAATCTCAGAACATTTAACTATGTTCATGCAGAACTTATACAGAGCCAGCCAAGATGCTGTTGTCTGAACAGCAAGGGAACACTGAATGGTTCAAAATAAAGAAAGAAGTGCATCAAGATGTAACCTTTCTTCATACATTTTCAGTCCATAAGCTGAACAGATCATTCAGGAGGCTGAACTTTAGGAATTGGAGGATTGGAGGAAGACTTACCAACAACTTATGTTATGCAGATGATACAATCTTGCTTGTAGAAACTGACCCGGATCTGAAGTGTTTGGTGCAGAAGATCAAACACTGCAGCATTAAATATGGATTGCATCTCAACATCAAGAAAACAAAGATCCTCAGACAGCATCATGCTAGGTGGAGAAAAGATTGAGGTTGTTAGTAATATCATCTTAGTTGGTTCCACAATCAACACCCTTGTTACTGTTATTGTTGTTGTTAGGTGCCATCGAGTTGAGTATGACTCATAGTGACCCCATGAACAAAAGATCTGAACCTAGTCCTGTCCTGTGCCGTTCTCACACTTTACTTCCTGACACACAAGAGCCAATTGCAGCAGTCATCTTGTCAGTCCACCTAATTGAGGGTTTTCTCCTTTGCCAACCCTTCACGCTTCCCAATCATGTCCCTTTCCAAGGAATAGAACTTCCTAGCCATATGTCCAAAGTATGTGAGGCAAAGCCTCATCATCCTTGCCTCCAAAGAGCACTCCATCAACACCCTCTCTAAGACATATCTATTTGTTTTCTTGGCCATCTATGGAATGTTCAGTGCTCTTCTCCAATACCACAGATCAAAGGCATCAATCTTTTTTCTGTCATCCTTATTCACTGTCCAGTTCTTGGATGCACAGTTAGTAATTGGAAAGACTGTGGCCTGAATTAGACGCACTTTAATCCTCAAACTGATGTCACTACTCCTCAATAATTTGGAAAGGTCCCTAACTACAGATTTTCCCTGTGCAATACGTCTCCTTATTTCCTGACTGTACCAAGGATATTAGTTTTGGATCCAAGCAAGATGAAGATGTTGGCAATTTCAGTCTTCTCTCCATCCATCATGACACTACCTATTGACCCAGTGGTACTTCCTGAAAATTTTCAGTGTCCATCAATTCTTTCTGGTACAGTGATTCAGTGACTCCCTCCATCTTCTTTTGATGCTTTCTGGGCCAAATTATCTGAGAAGCTGGACTCCATGAAAAGGAATGTGGCATCAGGATTGGTGGAAGAATCATCAACAACCTGCGTTATGCAGATGACACAACAGTACTTGCTCAAAGTGAGGAGGACTTCAAGCTCTTGTTGCAGAAGATCAAGGAATGCAGCCTTCAGTATGGATTTTGTCTCAATATATTAAGAAAAGCCCCCAAACGAGATTCTTACCACTGGACCAATAGGCAGTGTCATGATGGATGGAGAGAAGAACAGTGTCAGTCTAGAGACTAAAGTGCACCCTTCCAGGCCATGGAAGGCCACCCTTCTCAATCTGTGAGCTGGACAATGAATAAGGATGACAGAAGAGTCGATGCCTTTAAGTTGTGGTGTTGGAAAAGAGTATTGAACATACCATGGACTGCCAAGAAAACAAACAGATCTGTCATGAAGAGGGTGAAACTAGGGTACTCCTCGGAGGCAAGGGTTTTTAAGCCCTTTCACATATTTTTGGCATGTTTCCAGGAGGGACTAGTCTTTGAAGAAGGACATCATGCTTGGAAAGGTAGAGGGTCAGCACAGGAGAGGAAGACCCTGGATGAGCTGGACTGACACAGTGTCTGTGGCAATGGGGTCATGCACGTCAGAGATGGTGAGGTTGGCTCAGGATAGAGCAAGGTTCAGGGCCATTGTTCATGGGGTGGCGATTAGTTGTAGCGTTCTTGACGGCACATAACAACATCTAGGTGTTTTCAGGGGACAGAGAACTGGGATACAAAATTTTTACAGATATAAGGAAATGCTAATTTCATCCTGAGAGTTTTTAAAATTGAAGACCACAGGCTTTCACATAAACTTTTAATTTGATAATATCTTTTCTTTTACATTTAAAGGTTTGGTTTCTGTTGACACCAACATACATAGTTTCTTTAGTTCCTTCCATTATAGACCAAACTTGTAAAATAATAGTTTTGAATATTATTACCAGTAGCAGGTCTAGTGCATGTAGTTTAATTCTTTGTGGTTCATTTTGTCCTAGGACACGCCTCACTAGGGATGCACCATCAAGACATGTGCTTCAAAGACCTTTGAAATAATTTTTCTCTGTGTGGATCTGCCTCCAGCTTGGTATCCTGTTATTGTTATTAGGTGCTATGCTATTAAACCAATTTTCAACTTACAGTGACTCCTTGTGACAGAGCAGAGCAGCCTATAGTGTTCTCTTGGCAGTCAGAAAGTCGTTTCTACAGAAGCAGTTTGCTTTCTTCCCTGTAGTGACCGATGAGGAGCTTCCAAGCCCTGAGCTACTGCACCACCAGGGCTTTAAAGCAGACTTGCTTTCACGTGGGAATTTTAGAAGCTTTTTTTTTAAAAAAAGAGATCTTTATAAACGATGTAAAACCTTCTACATCTTTAAAAAAGCCCAACTCCTCAGACAAGGTACATTTAGAGAGGGCTAGCCAAGCTGCCTGCTCCTTCCCCCTTCTGTTTCTTCCTCCAGCGGAGAACCATTTTTATGAGCTTCCTGCCATTGTTTTTCTTTTTAAATACAAACCCATATGTCTGCATAAGAATGCACCTTTGTACATTGTAATAGGCTGTGTGTTTTCACTGTGTGTGGGGGGGAGAGGGAGATTATCTCATGTTTTAACATCTTGCTGCAGAGAACTTGAGGGGGGTGCATGTTGTTGCTGCTGTGTGCCATCGAGTCAGGACCGGCCCTTAGCTGTCCCTCCAGAGGGTTTTCACAGATATTAAGTCGCATAGGAGAGTGCCCATCTTTCTCCTGTGCGCTGGTGGATTTGAACCGTGTCCCATGGCCAGAGCATATATTGTTGTTGTTGTTGTGTACCATCGAGTAGGAATTGACCCAAAGCTGATCCTTCAGCAGGTTTTCAGAGGCAGTTAATTGCACGGGAGGAGATTGCCAATGTTCTCCCACAGAGCAGCTGGTGACCTCAAACTACATGACTTTGGGATTGCAGGGCAGCTTCTTGCTAGTAGGCCACCGGAGCGTATAGTAGGTGTTTTGTAAAAAATTGCAAACCTACCGCTGCTGCCTCTTGTCCCCTTTTCCTGTTGTATTTTCCTCACACAGCACTTACCATTACTTGATAGTTTCAGTGTTGAATTTGATATACTCTATATACACATCCCGTCTCTTCCACGAACATGGAGAATTTTATCTCCTTTCCAAGATAGCAGAGATTTTTATCTGTTTTGTTCCTGCTATCTCCCTCACACCTGGAACAGTACTTGGCACTCAATACTGCTGACTGAATAAAAGAATGCTTCTTAAACTTTTGAAGAATACAAAAGCGAATGAGTGAATAAAGAACAAATGGATTGCTGTCAGGCCATGGCCTTGCCCACCCCCCATCTCGCCCCACAGACCCGGGTTGTAGTTGAGACCATGCCCCTTTGTCACATTTACCCAAGACCCCAGCACCAACTAACTCAGAGCCATCTTTTTGCTTCACTCCAGGTGTCAAATGTGGGGGTGTGCTCTCAGCACCTTCTGGAAACTTCTCCAGCCCCAACTTCCCCAGGCTCTACCCCTATGACACGGAGTGCAGCTGGCTGATCGTGGTGGCCGAGGGCTCCTCTGTGCTGCTCACCTTCCACGCCTTTGACCTGGAGTTCCATGACACCTGCGCCTTTGACTTCCTGGAGATCTATAACGGGGCGGCCGGAGACAAGGGCAACCTGCTGGGGAGGTTCTGTGGCCAGGTGCCCCCGCCACCTTTCTCCTCCTCGTGGCACGTCATGTCTGTCGTCTTCCACTCAGACAAGCACGTGGCCAGCCACGGCTTCTCTGCCGGCTACCAGAAAGGTCAGGGGAGGGCTTGGGGGTGGGTGGCCCTTGGTGGAGGTGGGAAGACGGAGAGCTAAGGCCAGACTGGTACAGTCCAGGCATGTGGGCAGGTTACAACAACAACATAGGCACCTTGCAGAAGTGCTCTGTAACCCGGATGGTCTTGCTCTCCTCCTTCATGGGGCAACCTCCGTGTTCATAACCACATCTTGGTCGTGGGTTCCCCCCCTCCTGGCAGCACTCCTCACATCTCCATCATTCCTGGGCTCCAAAAGCTGTCCTTGTGCTCAGGAATGAGGGTACTTATGCTTTTCTCCCCGGGCCCTTATTATTCCCATGACAATGTCACAAGAGGGTCACCACTAGGCTACCACCACTGATACTTTCAGAGGCTTCCCAGGGGCCCCTCCCCACCAAGTCCTCAGGAGTGGACAGCATACAGGGGTTGGGGGAGCTGGTGGCTCCTTATCCCAAAACCTTTCCTGAGCCTCTTATTGTGCGTTCTTGCATTCTCTCTTCTCAGCTTGGCTTGAAATCTGCCCAGAGACCAGGTTGGGAGCAGAGATTTGGCCTGTTTGCTTATCTCCTTGACTCCTCCCGGTGCACAAACTTGCTTCCTTCTTCCTAAGTTAAAACCAAAGGCCCTGTTCACATCCACGCAAGCACCAGGCAGCTGCAGAGGCTCCTGATCTGCCAGGCCCACCAGCGTTGATCCGGGGATGCTCAGACAAGCATGTGCTGACTCATGGTGACCTTGCGTGTGTCAAAGCAGAACTGTGCTCTCCAGGCTTTTCAGAAGCTGATTTTTTTCCCTTTTTAAATAGATTGCCAGGCCTTTTTTTTTTAAGGCCTCTGTTGCTGTGGTGGTGTGCCACTGAGTCAGAACCAGCCCATAGCTGACCCTCCAGGTGGTTTTCAGAGGCAATAAATCGCATGGGAGGAAATTGCTCCCTTGGAGCAGCTGGTGGATTTGAACCTCCTACCTTTGGGACTGCAGCATGGGTCCTTACCACTAGGCCACTAGAGCTCCTTAATGTGCCCCTAGGTAGATTCAAACCTCCATCTTTTGATTAGTAGTCAAACATGTTAATTCTCTGGAAGACCCAAATGCATGGCACACAGGTGTACTCCACTCCTGACAATTATTTTTTTTGGTGGCCCTTGAATCCCTGCCGGCCCTGGTGGCGTAGTCCATCGGCAGTTCAAATCCACCAGCCGCTCTATGTGAGAAAGATGGGCCATCTCCTCCCTTGTGGTTGCAGCCTCTGAAAACCCACTGGAGGGTCAGCTATGAGATGGTTCCTACTTGCTGGCAATGAGTTGAGTTTGCAATGCCGTGAAGCTTGAGGACCCAGTGCAGGGACATGCAGTCAGATCCTTAGACCCCATCTCAGGTCATGAGGTGAGACTATAGACTCTCGGGAAATACATCCCGAGTGTGGCCCCATCCTGCAGGTGACCTGGGAACAATCGCTGCCTCATCCTCACCTGTTGCATGACTGTGAGGCTTCTCAGGGCTCTCACCAGCCTCTCCTTAGAGTCTCTGGGAGTCCACACCCTGTTGGTCAGGCTCAGTAGGCCTTATTAAAACACAGAACCTAACCCACTGCTGGCCAGTCACTTCTAACTCTTCAAGATCCTACAGGATAGAGTAGAACCAGCCATGGGGTTTCCTGATCTTGATGAAAGCGGAAAGCTACATCTTTTTCCTGTGGAGGAGCTAGTGGGTTTGAAATTGCCATCCTTTTGATTAGTAGTGGAGCCTTAACAACAAGGCTCTAGAATTTCTCCTAGTCAGGGCTGCTATCAGAGAGGGCTGCTTGCCCAGGTCACATGGTGAACTGAAGGCAGAGCTGAGAGGCCACCTGTCCTCACCTGTGAGGGAGGTTTGAGAACATGCCTGCTTCAGGCACCTCAGTCTGTTAGAAGTGGGCAGTGGGAGGTTGCAACAGTTAAGTGCCCAGGCTCTACAGTTAGTCTCCCTGGGTTCAAGTCCCACTCTCCCAGTCGCCAGTCAGGTGACCTGCTGTCAAGACCACTTCAGTGTGCGCTCCTGCCAACCTCTGCATCTCTGCTTGAGGGCTTTCCCAAAGTCAGAAGGCCTCCCTTGCACCCCAGCAGTTCTTGACCTGGACTCTATAGGGTTAGTGTGTAAACACACCAGCCCCTCACTTCTAGGGTGACGTGCAACACGTTGGTGCCTCCATTTCCTGGGGATCCCTTGCACGGTTCAGCACCCACTGCCCATCTGCAGGGGCCCTAACAGTGGCCTTTAGGGGAGATAGTATCTTCTTTTCACTGCCCCACTTCTTCCCTTCCCACCTGGGCCTCATGCACCTCCCAAGTAAGCTCCTTGTGCTCAAATCCTTGGCTCAAGCTTTACTCCTGGACTTTACCAAGCTTGTCCAGGTGGGTTATTTAGTTTCTTTGTGCCTCTGTTTTGTTTCCTGTAGAATGGAGGGAACAATAATGCACTATTCCTAGACTTGGGGTCAAGGTTAAAAAATACAGTGCGGGTGCAGGTTGGGAGGCCTCAGTGAGAGACGAGGGCACCTGTGAAGGCAGCAGGTTGTAGGGAGGAGATCCGGTTACCGTGGGAAAGGAGAGGGGTCAGACTGAGTGGGTTCCCTTGCAGATGTGTGCGGTGGAGTCCTGTCAGGCCTGTCGGGGGTCCTCACCAGCCCCGAGTACCCCAACAATTACCCCAACAACGTGGAGTGCCGCTGGGTGATCCGGGCGGCTGGCCCCGCCACCGTCAAGCTGGTGTTCGTGGACTTCCAGGTGGAGGGCAACGAGGAGTGCACCTATGACTACGTGGCCGTGCTCGGGGGGCCAGGCCCCGCCCGCGGGCATCACTACTGTGGCAGCACCAGGCCCCCCACCCTCGTATCCCTGGGCCACGAGCTGCAGGTGGTCTTCAAGTCTGACTTCAACATCGGAGGCCGGGGCTTCAAGGCGTACTATTTCTCAGGTAGGAGGAGCTGGAGCTACAGCTCCTAGGCCCCAGCCGCCCCCCTGTGCTTGCTCTCTTTCAACTTTCATTGCTGTAGTCAGTGAGTTTCAGAAGCTGTAAGTCACATGGAAGAGACTGCGCATCTTTCTCCTGAGCAGCCACTGGCGAATTAAAAATATCAAATGTGCAACAATGAATGAATGGAAATTAAAAAAAAAAAATCAAATGTGTTAGCAGTACAACTTTCTACAGATTACACCACAGAGTTCGAGGCTTGCAGTGGTCCCACTTTCCTTCGTTGCACCCCTTTCTCTTTTCTCTGCCTGGAATGTAAAGGCACATCCCATTCTATGTGGCTGATGCCAAGGCATAACAAAAAGTCACCTCCTCTGTGAAGACTTCCTGACTCACTCACTGGGCTCACTCCCTTCCATCAATGCCTCCTAGAGGCTTTTCCGTAGCTCTGGCCTAATGCTTACTTTGTGTGTATGTGATTTGTGTGTCCATCTCTCTTTCCTGAAAGGTCGTTATGGGATCTTTGTACCTGACTGAGGCCCTTATGGGATCTTTGTACCTGACACACAGCAGGGACCCAACTAATGTTTGTAGGAATGAATGAACTCTCTCTCTCCTTTTTTGTTATGATTTTATTCTATTGCTATTTTAATGAAAGTTTACAGAAAACTTGGATTTCCATTCATTGTTTGCTGCTCTGTTGAACTTTGCTATTGTTACTGGAGAGAGATGATATCTCATAGTTGTTTTGATTTGCATCTCTCTTAAAGCTAGGGATTTTGAACATTTCTTCATGTGTTTGTTTGCCATCCTAATACCTTCTTTGGTGAAGTGTTTGTTCATATACTGTGCCCATTTTGCAACTGAGTTGTTTACCTTTATCTTGTTGAGGTGCTGGAGTATTCTACAAGTTCTAGATATAAGTCCCTTCTTTTTTTTTCTATATTTTATTAATTTTCATAAACATTTACAGAGATTTTGGGTTTCCATTCATTCATTGTTGCACTATATAAGTCCCTTCTTTGTAGCTAACACATAGCAGGGACTCAATTAATGTTTGTAGAAATGAGTGAATGAACTCTTGAGGAGTTCTCAGTCTAGTGAGGGAGATGGATAATGACAACTTATTGTGACCCTCTCCTATGGGACAGGAAGAATCGCGGGTGGCTTCCTGGAGGAGGGGAATTGAGTAGTGCCTTGAAGAAGCTAGAGAGAAGTGGAAAGAAAGGAATGGTGTTCTAAGCAGGGGAATTGAATGCACAAAGGAATGATGGTTAGAGAGGGTTAGGTGGGTTTCTCATACTGGATGTTCGCTGAGGTTGGGATGTGGGGAGTGGCTGAAGAGCAATGAGAAAAGGTGCAAAGCTGGATCATCACAAACTGCCTTGTTCATCAAGCCAGGGAGTCTGGGCTCAACTCTAAGGACAGGTGTTGGGTATCATTATTGAATGCTTATCCCTGGAGATTGCTAACTGGAGTGAGAGTCCCAGCTCTCAGCTGGCTTCAGTGTAAAGCAAGCTTTGTGATCCTTACCTGGTTTGCTGGCCATGGTACCCACAGCCTGTTGGGGTGATGTTAGGACTTTCTTAGCACCTGCCCCTGAAGCTATAACTGCAGAGGGTGGAGTGTTGCTTTCCTCTCCCCCACAGGAGAATGCCAGGAGGTGTTCACCTCCATGCGGGGTAACTTCTCCAGCCCGCAGTACCCTGGATCCTACCCCAACAATATCCGCTGCCACTGGACCATCCGCCTGCCTCCTGGCTACCGGATCAAGATCTTCTTCCTCGATCTGGACCTGGAGGAGACCAACAGCCTGACCAGAAACTGTGACTTTGACCATCTGGCGGCCTTTGACGGGGCCAGTGAGGAGGCACCGCTGCTGGGGAGTTGGTGTGGCCACCACCTGCCACCACCTGTCACCTCCAGCCACAACCAGCTCCTGCTCCTGCTGCACACAGACCGTAGCACCACCCGCAGGGGCTTCTCGGTGGCCTACATCGGAGGTCAGCTGGGGAGGGGGTGGGTGTGCTGGTGGGGGGAAAGCCAGGCAGTTGACATCCTCATCCTACCAGCTGGTCCGAATTCCCATGAATGGCCTGGCCCCTTCTTGGGTGACGACACCACTCCCAATGACTCCATTGAGGTCTTTGAAACCACACCAGAATGATTCTCCCTTTTTCCAGTTCCCAGTTCCATGATCCTGAATTCTTCCTCCCTCCAGCTCAATGGAGTTAGTAACTGAATGCTTGACTACTATGGCTAGCATCTGCCCAGAGTGTCTTAAAAGAAAAGCCTGCAAATCTACTTTCAAAAGATCACAGCCGTTGAAAATCTAGTGGCACTCAGCTCTACTCTGTCTCACCAGAGGGTTCTATAGCTGAAGTCAATTCAGTGGCAACTGATTTTTCTGAGTCTTTCTCCGTAAAGCCCTTGGCCTCTCTAGTGCTGTGGCTGAGCTCTTGTATTCAGGAATAACATGCAAAATATTGTCATTAAGCATTATTTAATGATGGTACACAACTGGTATAATTAGCCACGGAAATGCCTGCCCGCTTTGCATTGTTAGAAATGGTTTGGGCTGGAGCAGCAGAAACATTGACAGTACCTTGAATGGTTTTGGTAACGGGGTTTCCCTTCCCAGAATAAGGAGTCCAAAGCTAGGCAGCTGCTGTATTGACCAGGGGCCCAGCTGGTCTCTCTGAAAGTCTCTTGGCCTCTCCTCATGGCTGCAAGATGGTTGCCACAGCTCCAGGCATTATGCTCACATTCACAGCTAAAAGGAAGTAGGAGACAGCCCCCCCAAAAAAATACCTTAACAGGAGTGCAAAAGTATTCCCAGAAACCTGCAAGACTTCCTTTGTCTCCTGTCTTTGAACCTGGTCAGATGTCCATGCCTCACTCTAAAGGATGCTGAGAGAGCTGGCAGCTAGCTTTTGCAGCCTCCAGTTAGTGAGGCTTGCCAGCCAGCAGTGCCCACCTCTCTCCCCTCTTTCCGTTACCCTTTCTGGGCCCATTTCCCCTCTACTTGACTAGAGCTAAGCTTTGTGGAAATGGAGGTGCAGAAAGAGAGGAAATTACTTCATCGTGCTCACATAGGCAGTCAGTGACATGGCCCAGGGCCAGAACTCACATCCCTGCCTTTGCCTTCATCATCTTTGGCTGATGTAACTGAGATACTCTAAGTTTGTGACTTCAAAGAACCTGTATTTATTTTCTCACAATTCAGGAGGCTGGAAGTCTGAATTCAAGGCAGCAGCTCTAAGGGAAGGCTCTCCATCAGCTCTGGGGAAATCAGTGTCTTAGTTTCTCTAGCCGCAGCACTCCTCAATTCCTTGGTGATCTTCAAGTGGCATCATCCGTACTTCCTCCTAGGTCTTCTCTGCTCACTTTATATCTCAGAAATACACAGCTTGGCTTCACTAACAAGACAAAGCAAGTCCTATTCCTAAGTGGGCTTATATGCACAGGCACGTTGCCATTACTGAGTGCTATTGAGTTGATTCAGACTTATAATGAATGCGATGGGACAAGTTAGACATGCAGTCTATAGGATTTGCTTCCTGTAATCTTTAGAAAACTAAGATGTGCCTGATTCAGGCCATGGTCTTCTCAATCACCTGCTTGTGCATCAGAGAGTTGGACAATGAACAAGGCTGACAGAAGTAGAACTGATGCCCTTGTGTTGTGGTGCTGGAAAAGAATACTGAATAGCCCATGGATTGCCTAAAAAGCAGATATGTCTAGGAAAACATCCAGAGGGCTCCCTGGAGGCAAAGCAAAGCTTTACCTCCCATACTTTGGACAAGGCTATTCCTTGAAAAGGGACATAGTGCTTAGAAAGATGGAGGGTCAGAGAAGGACAGGAAGACCCCCCAATGGGACAGATTGACACAGTGACTTCAGCAACAGGCTCTAGTGTGTCAGAGATGCTGAGGACGGTACAGGATAGGGCCGGATTCAGGCTGGCTCTTCACAGAGTCGCTGTGACTTATACTTGACTTGGAGGGGCCTATCCACAATCTTTATGCAAAGAGCCATAGTGTGGCAGCAGTTTAACACTCAGCTCTAACCAAGCAGCGAGTGTTTCTACTCCAGTAGGTGCTCCACAGGAGAAAGATGTGTCAGACAGAGTCCCTCTGTAAAGATTATAGCCTTGAAAACCCAGTGAGGCTCTCACTGTCCTGTAGTGTCTGTAGGAGTTGGATTTGACTCAGTGGGAAATGGGTTTGGGGTAGATGGCCACTGCCTTCTTCTGTGGAGGTTCTGAGTGAGTTCAAACTGCCACCTCTAAGCACTTAACCACTGCACCACCCAGACTCCTTTCCATGGGTGTTGCTGTTAGAGGCCATCAAGGTGGCTCTCATGCAAAGTGGCATAGGCACATAGTGTAAGATTACAAAACCCTGCCCGATCCCGTGCCATCCTCACAGTCCCTGCCATACTCAAGCCCTGTATCGATCTATCTCATCGAAGGTCTTCCTCTCCTTTGATGACCCCTATGCTTTTCCAAGCATGATATCCTTTTCCAGGAGACTGACCCCTGATGATAACAAGCTCAATGTATATGAGATGCCATTTCCTTCTTCCTTGGGATTCCAATATGTGTTTATTGGGAGAGAACAGCCTTCCTGAGTGGCTGTGTGGGGCTTGAGGGAGGTGGACTCTTAGGACTGAGCAGGTCTGGCCAGGAGGCTGTGACGATGGGACAATGTGATGCAGGTCACGGTGCTTGGCTCTGAGGACATTCTTGCTGGGGGCGGATTTCTATCCCTCTAGTGCCTCAGGCCTGCCCACAGTCTAGAGATCTTCCCTCTTCCCTCTCCCACACACAGCCTGGGGACTCAGCAATGGGATGTGGAAGGGTAGAGCTACAGGAAGGACCAGGAACCTGTTGCTGCTACGTTGGGTCTGACTCATGGTGGCCCCACGTGTCAGAGCAGAATTGTGCTCTACAGGGCACTCGATGGCTGGTGTGTGGACGTAGGTCACTGGATCCTTCTCCTGAGGCACCTCTGGGTGGACTTGAATTGCCAACCTTTGGTTATCAACTAAGCATGCTAAATCTCACAGTAGAGATGTGGCTATGGACTTTGGTTGGCTCCACTCATAAGCTAGGGGAGAACTAGAGGACCTCCAAGTCCCACTCAGGTTGATCCCCTCAGCTTATGTATCTTGGACACGAGAGCTCTGGAGAGCCAGTTCCCACTGGGCCAGCTGGTGTGCCGTTTTCTTCCTCCAGGTCTCAGTGTTTCCACTTGTAAAGTAAAGACATGGACTGAGTGATCTTTAAAGTCCCTTTGGCTCTAATCTCCTGATTTCCTGGCCCAGGTCTCCCCTCAGCTCCCTGTGATTTTTAGACCAGACCCCTCCCTTCCCTGTCTGAATCTCCAGAGACTGAGGGTTGGGGCAGCTCAAACCTGACTCCTGTGCAGAAGCCCCCACCTCAGTGCTCTGCCCATCCCACCCCTTACCGCACCTCCCAGCCCAGTTCCCAGCGGGAGCGGAGGGTCAGACAGGGGCACGTGTGCTGGCGAGGCTCCAGCTGCAGCCCAGGGTTGCAGGCGGCCTTCCCGCTGGGAGGGCTGCCTCGGCATCAATCAGGGGTGACACACAGTTCAGCACCACCGCCATCACCGTGGGAGACGGTAGGCCCATAAATCCCGGCTACTTAGACACCAGAGACTGAAATATGTCTGAGGCATTTCCCGTAGCGGGGTCTAGAGTTCCAGGCCTCTGCCTCCCAGCTCTCTCCTTTGCCAGCTTCCAGTCATCCCCCTCGCCCATCCTCTTGCGTGTGCCGCGCGCGCACACACACACACGTATGCACGCACATGCACACTGCATACACACATGTAACATGCATGCACACATACAAAAATGTTCACCCAGATACCGCTGGCAGAGCATGCGAGGGGCAGCCAGATAAAGCGGAGACAGCACAGACATTAGAATCCTCTAGACTCAAAGGCTGTAATCCTAGCTTGGCCACCACCAATAATACCACCTCTTAGAGCTTCCATATCCTAACCCGTGTAGTGGGTTTAACCAGGCCCAATTAATACATAGGACAATATGGAAGGGAAAGTGAGGTCTTCCCTCACCACCATCTTTAAAATGACATCTCTCCCACCCACTTTGCTCTCTGCCTTTCTTCTTTGCTTAATTTCCCTCTAGAGCACTCCAGTTCTTTTCATAATTTACCCTTTTGTTTTTATTGAGAATATACATAGCAAAACACGCACCAATTCAATGGCACTAAATTCTTCACATTGTTCAAGCATGTTCACCTCCTTTACTTAGTAATTCTCTCCCTATTTACAAAAACTCACTGTTTCCTCAGCTTTCTATATAATCTCTCAAATTGCTCTTGTCAATTTGATCCCATGTGGATAGTCTTTAAAAGAGCCTAACGCTCAAATGGATGCTCTTTATAGGTTAAACTATTGTTTAATTTTTAGAGAGCTCTGCTGTGGCTTAGTGTGTAGAGAGCATTGTGCTGCTAACCCAAGGGCAGATCTTTCCATTGGTTCAAATCCACCAGAGACTCCACAGGAGAAAGATGGTCAGTCTCCTCCTGTGAGATGTATAGCCTCTGATAACTCATTGGAAGGTCAGCAATGAGCTGGTTCTGACTTAATGACAATGAGTTTGAGTGTTTTTTATTGTTTGGTTTTAAGAAGACTTTGGGGACAGACACCTAAGTGTTCATGACATAAGAATATACTTCATCTATAAGAGTATACCACATCTATAAATTTTGAACCATTGATGTGCAAGCAAGACATGATGGCCACTCTGGAAACTAAAGTGAGGCTGATGGACCTTTAGATTGCCTTACAACTGTCTGTTTACAAAGTAAACTTTACATCCAGGGAATGAAGAACACCCACCAACAGAACACTTTGCTAATCTAATTTGGTTTATTTTTAAATGTGTGCATGAAATGTAGAAAGATGTAACAGAAAGAAATGAAAGGAGACTACTTTGTATTCTACTGCCTTTCCTACTGTATTTTTATACTTTTTGGCAGCATTAAGTATTTTTATTAAAAGACAAAAAAAAATTAAGACTTTAGGGAACAGTTTTAGTGTAAGGTTTAAAAATTAACTTAGGGTTGTTGTTGTTGTTATGTGCCATTGAGTTGCCTGTGACTCATAAAGACCCTATGTACAACAGCCCTGAACCCTACTCTATCCTGTGCCAACCTTATTGTCTCTGAGACACCCACTCCCATTTCCCCAGTTACTGAATCAGTCCATCTCATTGAGGGTCTTCCTTGCCTGTGCTTTCCCTCCACCCTCCTAAGCATGACATCCCTCTCCAAGGATGGTTCCTCCTTGCAACATGCCCAAAGTATGTTAGACAAAACTTCAGAATCCCTGCTTCCAATAGGTCATCCATAAATATTTGTTGAACGATTGAATGAACTGTCTATAGGTTTTACTACGATTAAGTATATCCACTCATTCATCCTGCCAGTCACTCTGTCTGCACTGGCTGTACCTACCTAGATCTGTGCTGGGTTTAGAGGTGCTGCCTTAGGCATATAGCCTGGGAGGGGAGTTTGTAATCTGATGATGTTAAATGGAACAACATACATAAAATATCCCATTCTGTGCCCTGTAGGACTTCTGTGAACCTTCCTCACTCTCAGTCAGGTTCCCCATTCACCACTCTCAGACAGTGGGGACAGAGAAGGTGGCCCTGTGTGCCTCTGGTCTCCAGCATCCTTCTCTCCTTCTCAGTGGTGCCAATGAACGTGAGCTGCTCCCGCACTGACTTCCAGATCCTGATCTCAGCACAGACACTGGCCCCACTGGAACGGACCAAGGTCTATCTGGGCAGCCGGAGCTGTGCTGCCCAGGAAGTCGGCAGCAACTTCCGGATCCAGGCGCGCTTTGACACTTGTGGCACTGAGTCTCAGGTAGGGAGCTGGAGTGTCAGGTACGAGGGAGGAGCTCTGACCTCAGCTAAAAGGCCCCCACCACTGAGAACTTTTCTGCTGCTGACTGTGGTTAACTACTTCAGCTGGGGTGCAGAACTCAGCCCTCCTTGGTTCTATGTCAGCGTACTTGTTCATGTGAATGTAAAGTGGTGAGAGTTCAAATAGAGGAGAAAGGAAGTGGGGTACCACTACATACATAAAAGGACTCCCGAGGCCACTCTTCCACAAGACCCTGTCGGCTGTGCTTCCCTCCTTCTTCAAAATGCCTCAGGGGGACATAACTGTTCTCACCTCCTTAATACTATTGTTAATACTGTTTAATACCATGCATAGCGAACCCTCAGCAGGTTTTTAGAGGCTATAAATCACATGGGAGGAGACTGTCCATCCTTCTCCCGAATCCAGCTGGTGGATTCAAACAACCTGCCTTTGAGTTGCCAGTACAACTCCTTACCATTAGGCCACCCGAGCTCCCTCACCTCTTTAATCAGCAGAACCCTTTCTGGCTTGCCTCCTGCCCACCCCTTCCCCAGCCTTCAGATAGGAATCCATCCTTGAGCTCAGCAAAACAAAAGGGCCTTTCAAGTAACAGTATCCAACTCTTGCAGAAGGCAGGGAGGATTAAGAATGCATTTTTTTCTACTATCCTTATATTTTGGAGGCCATGAACTCAGGCTCAGAGAGTCCCTGGGCAGAGGTCCAAGCACCCTGGAATTTGTACTCTTTGGGGCAGGGCAGGAAGGGAGGTGGGGACAGAGGAAAAGTGGGCTCCATTTGAGACTCCCAGCCTTGATATCCAGGGGAATTTGCTAGACTGGCTTGGCAGACATCATGTGCCTTCCTGCAACACCCACTAACCTTAGCCAATCATTTTGCCTTGGCCTCTCCAGCTCTCCCCCCTGCCTTCCTTGACTCCTGGCAGGCGCTGCCCTTTTGACCTGAGAAGATGAGAAAGTGGGGGCAGGGTAATTCTAGTTGCCAAGGTATTCCACACTCACCCCCACTCTATGCCCCAAGTCCCCCCAGGATTTTCTGTGAGTCAGAACCACATTCCAGAGAATCCTGAAAGGATGGAGACAAAGAAACCCAGAAAGAAAATAAAGAAATCCTAGAACCAAGGGACTCACAGATATTAAGAATCATGCAGTTACAGAGCCATTCCCAGAACTCAAAATCACAGTCAAGGAAGCCTACAGGGAAGAGCTTAGAATGACTCCGTGGCGCAGGGTAATGCTTATCAATTCTTTACCCATAAAGACCAGTCTCGAGTTGCTTTCATAAAAGCCCATCATAAGTAGAAAATCAAAATCCAACTAAACAAAAAAGTCATTCCAACCTTTTCCTGCATTTCTTAAAATACAGAATACAATAGAGACTAGATATTAGAAGCATCAACCTCATACTTGTCTGTCCTTTTCCTCCTCAAGTCTCTCTCTAGGCTGTTCTCTGTGTGTGTCCTTCTTTCTACATAGATTTACTTTGTCCCTTTTATTAAAGCATATTCTATTCTCAGGCATTTTCTTTCTTTTCCCAGTGCCTGATTGTATAGCACAAGAGTTCAGGAGGCAAGTTCTCAGAAGGTGCAGTGGTAGGTTGAAGGCACAGATGTGCAAGGCTCTTGTGAGGAACGTGGGCCTTTTGGAAGACCCACAGTGCCACCTACCCCTGTCCCTTCCTGAGTTGTGACTTCCTTTCTCACTCTTAACAAGGAGACCACTTAGTCTCTGGTGATAGGCAAACAGCCCGGCCCTCAAGGCTGCTGGCTTCTGTATTAAATAGCTTCATTTTTAGAAGCTTCAACTCAGACGTGCCACCCGCTCTCCCAGGGTTGTTTGGGAAACTTAAAAAGGATAAGGGAGCTCTTGTGGCCTAGTGGTAAGAAGCTGTGCTGCAGTCCAGAATACACAAGGTTTGAATCCACCAGCTGCTTTGGGCAGGAGAGTGAACAACCTCCTCCCGTATGATTAACTGCCCCTGAAAACCAGCTAAAGGGTCAGCTACGGGTTGGTTCCAACTCAATGGTATTCAACAATAGCAATAACTAAGAGGGTCATTGTGCCTGTAGGTTGGGGGTGGGCAGGAAAGGTAGCCCTACATCACTGCAGCCTCCCTCTCTAGACCACACCCATGGTCCTATCCAAATGCTACCCCTCAGTCCCTGCCCCACTAATCCACAATCTCAGGTTGACTTGATTCCTGTCTCCCTCATTTGTGGGCAACAGAGTGCCAGGCCCTCCACACCCAGATACTTGATTACACTTCCCAACCCTACAGTGATGCTGATATTGTTTAGCTCCATCGAGCTGATGATGGCTCATAGTGGTGACCCTACAGACAACAAACCAAAACCTGCCCCGAGCCTATGCCACCCTCATTCCCTCAGCCTTCCTCAAACCCACTGTTGCTGTCACTATGTCAGTCCATCTTGTTTAAGGTCTTCCTCTCTTTGCTGGCCAATAATTCAGCATAATTATCCACTGCCAACCTAAGGGTGAAAAGATTCCAGATGGAAGGTCAACACCACACCAGAGACAGAGCTTCCAATTGGGAGGCAGGAGACCTGGTTTCTGGACTCCATTCTGAACAAGATACTGCTCTTGCTGGGCCCCTATTGTCACATCTGCAAAACTGCCAAGGAAGTGGCATTGAGCTATGTGCTCTGAAAAGCCCCCTTTAGTTTCACATTCTTTGGTCTAAGCGAAGCTTGGTGGCTAAGAGCATAGCAAGAGCTGGATAGCTAGCTCTGCGTGAGAACACGATCTCTGACATCTGCGGCCTAACCTCAAACAAGGGGCTTAAAACCCTGGGACTCAGTTTCTTCATTTTTAAATGAGAGTAATAATAGTACCAAGTACAGAGGGTTGTTGTGAGAACTCAATAAGATAATACACTTAAAATATAGAGCTTGTGGGACTTGGCAGAGGTCCCTGCATGGTACAAATGGTTTGCTCCACTACACCTCAAGGTTGACAGTTCAAACCTACCCAGAGGTACCGTGGAAGAAAGACCCAACAATCTGCTTTTGTAACCACTACAGCCTAGAAAGCTTGTGGAGCAAGTCCGCTATGTAATACAGGAGGTTGCCAGGGAGAGAATCAGCTTGACAGCCCCAGGGACGTGTGTGTGTGTGTGTCTTGGCATATGTTCCCAGAATGTAAGCTGTTATTGCAATGCCCTTGTCATCATTGCTATTGCTAGTGCCCCAGCACGGGTGGTGCAGATCATAGGGGCAGAGTTGCACTGCTAATAGAAAGGTGGCACTTTTCCAGCCATTTGAATCCACCAGTGGCTGGCCCCATCATCTCCTGTGACTTACAGCTTCAGAAACTTACTGGAGAGTCAGCTCTGAGCAGTTTCCAACTCTGAGGGCAATGAGTTGAGTTGTTGAGTTCACTGCTGCTACTTTTTTTTTTAAGATCCTGACTCCTTGAAGTCAGAAAAAACTGGCCCAGCAAATCTGTTCTTTCAGACATCTCACTCACATTTAAAATAAAGTTGCTGTTTTATTGATGTTAATGGTTATGCAGTGTGTGTCACAGTAGGATTGCTCCTTAGGGATTTTTTGCTGTTTTATTGGGTTTTATTTTCCTCAGCTAGCTAAATGGTTTATTTTAATCCAGCCACATCACTAATGATATTAAATGTAAATGGTCTAAACACATATATTAAAAGACAGAGACTCTATGCTGTCTACAAAATAACCACTTAATTTTTAAATTTTCTTTGCTTTGCATACAATCATTCATATACATCATGTTTTGTATATGTGTTTTCTTATTTATACAATCTTTCATGTATATTTCATATCATTAATGGCCATTGATCTATGCTGATTACCACCCTGTCTCCAAGGCTCCATTGACACTTTCTCATTCTTTCACACTCCACCACCACCAGCGGCAGGGTTTTCAATGGCTAGTTTTTCAGAAGTAGATAGCCAGGCATTTCTTCCAAGGTGCTTCTGAATGGACTCAAACTTCCAACCTTTTGGCTAACAGTCAAGCATATTAACTGCACCACCTAGAGATTTCTCTCATCATCTTTTACAGATGCAGGCAGTGAGGCTCAGAACTGAGAGTAAAAGGTTTTGAGGTCTACTCCCTTGGGACTGAGAAACAAATACGTGGGGGATTGGGGTCAGCTCAGGCTCCTCCAGGTGTGAATAAATGCTCTTGTGACCCCACAGAGAAGGAACAACACCTCCGTGATCGTCAGCGTGCTGTACATCGACTTCTCGGCTGGTGAGCAGGAGGACATCCACGAGTACGAGGTCCTCTGTGAGCCTCGGCGCAAGGAGGCGTCTGTCCACCTGCTATCTGGCTCCGACTGGCTGGGGCCCTATGCTGCCACTGCTGAGCACCTGCAGGAGGCACCACCCAGGTCTGAGGCAGAAGCTTTGGAAGGCTCAGTGGCCATGGTGACCCAGGACACCAGTGACATCGTCTTCCTGGGCCTTTGCATCCTGGCCGGAGTCCTCATGGTCATTGCCATTGTGGTCCTGATGCTGCTGTGAGTGGGCAGGAGAGGCACCTCGCATACCTGGGAGGCAGGCTAGGGTGGGATGGGGCCATGCTGACTTGTTGGTGACTTTGGGAAAGTCACTGTGCCTCTCTGAGCCTCAGATTCCTCGGGACAATCACTGTGTCCTGCCTACGTCACAGACTGACCTGAGGCTCAGAATCCCTGAAGGGGTAAGGGCTTTGCATATACAACATGTCACATACACATATGCAATTGTTGTTACTGTTATCTTGTTCATTTTAATAGTATTTTGCTGCAGAAGAGAACTCCTCAGGGTGTTAATTGTCAGTTCTGCATAGTTCTGATCACTGATAGTGATGTGGATGAAACTCGTTCTTGGAATGCATGAGGGCATCAGCAGTAAGGACACTTCTTATTTTTCCAACTAATTGCTTATCCCACGTCTTCATTAGGAGTAAGTCCAGAATTCATCCAGGGGGTCCACCTTCTTGAATTCACTTGGGGTGTTGTCAAAGCAAGTTAGTCTTGCATCCAAACTCCAAACATAGAGGTTTAAAAAGAAAAACAACAACAAACCCACCACCTGAGTAAAAACACCTCAACCTCACTGCCTTTGAGTCAGGACTAGCTCATAGCTTACCCTCTGTTGGGTTTCTGAATCTGTAGGTCACATGGGTGGAGACTGTCTATCCAACACCCTACACACGACGCCACCAGAGCCTGCCTACAAAGGAAAGGGGACTGAAAACCTCTGCAGTGTTGCCGCTCCGATCCCGATCCCTGCCGAAGACTGGTAACGGTGTATCCTCTTGAATGCTTATCCACCGAGGTGGGGATGGCCTTCTGGAGCAGACCCCTCCCTGAACCACGCTGAGGCCTCACGCACTCTCCGGCGGTTGAGGACTAATGTAATCCTGGTCCCCAAACGGCTAGTGATCTCTGGCTGAAAAGCTGACTGCGGTCCCTTGCATCTCTGGTTTGTTTTGATCCCTGGTATTGAGCTCGGATCACCAAGCCATCCTTTCTCAGATGAATACTCTCTGCCTTCCACCACCTTTCACTCAGAGCTAACCCAGTCCACCCACATCTCTCCAATTCATCACAGGGAGCTGAGGTGGGCGTCCTAACACTCTCCTGTGAGAAGGCCTCTGGGATTCTTATGCAAATTAGTCCACCTTTCCCCAGAGCACTACAAATCAAGAAGTGAAGCAATCTTGTCAATGAAAAATAAACAAAAATAAATGCACACTAGGTCACTTTTTTTCCCTGCTTACCTTGATGTTTGTATAAGGAAATCAATCAAGTGAATTATTCTATAATAACAGAAATTACCAAGTGGACTATGCTAACCTCTGGTATCAATTAAGGAAAATTGTAGCTTAATTACAACGCATTCAACGATCCAACAAACATTCACTAATTTCCAGCTTTGTGCCTGGTGCTGTGACAAGCTACAAGCAAAAGCGGTGAACAAGTCAAATGAGATTCTTTCCCATAAGCTGGTGGAGCATAACAGGGGAGGGAAGGAGCAGTTGAGCCAGTAACTGGTGAGAAAACTAGAGAGAAAAGAGCCAAAAAAGTAATAAATTAATTGGTGGGAGGGAGGCAAGTGAAAGAAAAACTTACCTAGACATTAGGCCTGAATCAACCATGATTCAGTTTTTTCAGTCACTTGCTATGCATCTGAAAGCTGGACAATGAATAAGGATGACAGAAGAATTGATGCTTTTGAGCTGTGGTACTGGAGAAGAACCCTGATCATCCTATGGAGAGCCATGAGAATAGTTGTCTTGGAGAAAGTGAAGCAGAGTATTCCTTGGAGGCAAAGATGACAAAGTTTTATCTCATATATTTTGGGCGTGTTGGTAGGAGAAGTTATTCTTTGGAGAGGGACATCATGCTTGGAAAGGTAGTGGGACGCCAAAGAAGAGGAAGACCCTCAACCAGATCTGACACAGAGATTGCTGCAATTGGGCTTGAGTAATTATGAGGATGGTACAGGATAGGACAGGGTTCACATCTGTTGTTTATAGAGTTTCTATGAGTCATATTTGACTCAAAGGTCCCTCCCTAACAATGAGTTATTAGGAGAGCTGGGTTCAAGTGGCAGCTTCTTATTGATTGTGTGAATCTTGGCACAAAACTGATTCTCTGAGCCTTGATTTCTCCATCTATAAAATGGGACCACAGGATATAGCAGCAAAAAGAATTTGAGAAGTCTAGAGTAGATATGGCACCAAGAGAGGGAGTCCTGACTGTCTCCCAGGGGTGTCTGGAGTAGAGGTTTCTTCTTTCTTTTACATTCTTGCTCTCAGACTCCCCCTGCCTCTGAGCCAGCCTGTTTTGTGAGTACTCCATCAAGCCCTGGATCTCAGTCTAAAGACAGGACACACACTAGATTCCTTCTGAGAGCTCTCTGGGGTTCTTCCTTCTAGGACCCAGGGATAGGCCTTGGAGTGAAGCTGGTGGGACTTGTGTTAGGTGGATCGAAGCTGGTCCTTGTCCTCATCAGCTTAGCAGAGTAGAAGAGACACCAGCCTAACCTGTGCCAAGGCCAAGCCTTAAAACTCTGTGTCTGATTGTATGTGTCTACGTGCACACATACTATTTGCTAGTTATGTGACTTTAGGCCAGTCACTTCCTCTTTCTACACCCAGTCTTCTTACCTACAAAGGAGAATAGCATCGACTTCACTGGTGTGCTGTGGGAATGAAATGACAACACGCCTGACAGCATCCAGCACATGGGAAGGACTCAATAAAGTCGGTTATTACCGTTGACCAGTGTACAAGGTCTAGGCCCAGCTTTACCACTGACCGGCTATGTGATCTTCAGGACATCCATGGCCTTCTCTGACTGGCCTCAGTTTCTCCACCTACAGAAGACGCTGAACATTATTACCACCTGCAGCATCACCACTGTCATTGTTCCATCTGCTACGACCAATCACATGCAAAGTGTTTCAAATGTGTCATCTCACTTAAGTGAGCCAATGAGGTAAGCCTCCCTGTTCCCATTTTACAGACTAAGAATCAGAGGTTTGGGAGGGAAGCCGCCATTCCCAAGGTCACATGGCTATGAAATGCTGAAGCTAGGATGAGAGATATTTTTCTCAGGTGGAGGACTGTACAGTAGGCCGGGGCCTCTTTAATCCTACCTAGGCCAATGGCCTCACACCCAATGGCTGTGTCGTATTGGGGAAGGACTGGAGTAGTGGATAGCAAGAGGATGGTTTTATCTCCAAGGACGTGCCTAGATACTGCCATTCCCAGCCCTCCAGGCAGCCAGCACGTTGATTATCCTGCGTGAGCTGTGGGAAATGACAGTCTTTATGACAGCACAGTGTCTATTAGAAATGAGAGGGCTGAAATGATACCCATTAGCCAGCATGCCCTAGCCCTGGAAGGGTGCCGGGGTATGGCAGGCATGGCGTAGCTCGCCTGCTCACCTACTATTTTCCCTTTGCAGAGTGAGAGTTGTGGAAAGAGCCTGTTTGAATCCCAGCTCCCTCCCCAGGGCCTGAGTGACCATAGGCTAGCCTAAACCAGGGAGGGAGGGAGCCGTGGGTCCTGCTGCCCGCCTGGCCCTGCAGGGTCGATGTCAAGAAGGAGCAAGCAGTGGCCCTCGGAAAACACGCTCTGGGTTACACGTCAGGTGGGCCTGGGTTCATTGTCAATTCTTTCCCTGACTCTATATGGCCTTAAGAAGATTGCATGACCTCTCTGAGACTCAGTTTCCTCATCTGTGGAATAGGGGTGGGGAGGCACTCTTCTCTCACAAGGTTTCCGTGAGGATGAAATGAGAACACACGGCGAGAGTGCCTCACATGGGGTCTCCACCTTGACGGATTTAGTAAGGGTTGGTTGGTGGGTGCCACCCCAGCCAAACACTCCTCTGCGAAATCCTCACATTTCAGACTTGGAAGGGGCCTTACAAGAAAGCAAGACCTTAATTGTATCTCTTATGAGTTTACTCTTCACTCAGCCTGACTTCCCCTTCATGCCCCCCAGTCTCCCTGCCATTCCCCAATAGACCAAGATCATTCCCACAACATCCTTATTCCTGGTCCATCTGGTAGAACCTCCTTCCACCAGCGCCATGTTCACATCTCTGCTCAAAAGGCCCCTGGTCAGCTATTTACACTAACATCCTCCATGACTTTGGACCCCTCTGTCTTGCTTTATTTCATAAAATGTGCTGCCCTCTGAAAAGATGTTATTCGTCTGTTTGTCTTAGCTTATTTACAGCCTGATTCCCCTCATCACAATGCCCGCGACGTGAAGGCAGTCAGAATCTTGCTCATCACTGAGTCAGAGCCTGGCATGTCTTGGACAGTCATTAAATATTGGTGAATGAGCAAATGAACACCACACATGAATGTGAGGTTACCATTTCTTTGTTGCAATCTGAGTCAAGGACATTTCCCAAGTATCTTCTGGATGTCCACCCTCTGATGGAAGTGCACACTGGCTCAGATGTGGACATTGTCCTCAAGGAGCTCACTGGCCCAGAAAGGAAGAGAGACACAAATGAAGCCAGGTCTAAGGCATGCAGATCCTACCAGTCAGAACCAGCAGGAACCAGCAGATGGCCACTGACTGAAGAGCAGTGAATGTGCGGTCTATTTGCAAAGGAGTGGGCAGGGTCCAGGGAAACCACAGGGGGATGCACATCCTGGGGTGGTCCTCGTGCCCAGAGAGATGTGAACTATGGACCCAGTCATGGAGGGGCACTGCAGGAGGCCTGACTGCTCTCTCCTGGCCTCCTTTTGCTTGTGGGGGCTCCTCATTGGCGGAGCCCATCCTCATTCAGCAGCTGCAGTGTAGAGCACGGGTGTCGAGGCACTCAACAAGGGGCAAATGGAGCTGAGTTCAGAAATACAGCAAATGCAGCCTCAAAGACTTTCTGCAACAGGACAGGGTTGTAAGAGTGCTAGAGGAGCACAGGGGGAAGAGGAGACTCAGCAGACAGACAAGGAACGGTATCGAACGCGGAGGCCCAGGAGCGCGTTGGCTGGGAAGACACTGGCAT